CATTTGAAGTAGAAAACCTTTTCTAAAATAGCCCGAAAACATATTACCATGAAATAAATTTGACAGCAAGATTGTTATCTTTAGCGTCTTCCATACATTCATGACTTGTCTTTTTATAATATATCATAAGAGCTGTTTTGTGTGTATATATATATATATATATATATATATATATATATATATATAGGCAAATTTGGCCAAAAGTTTGAGACTACCCTCTAGATTTCGAAGAATCGCCTAAAATTGAAGTTTTTTTCAAATCTAATTTATTTACCCACTTTGAACCATGGGACTTTCTTTTCTCGGACATTTTTACAATAATAATAATAATAATAATAATAATAATGATTAAATTAACAAATTAATGCATAATTTCTTCTTTTGACTGGGGGATTTTAAATTTTGGTATACCCTATTTAAAATATTGGACGCTAGTGAGGTAAATAACTTAACTTATAGTTAATCCTAACTTAGTTGGAAATAATTAATCTAAACAAGGTCGGAAACTTTAAAAAATATACAATCCAGAAAGTGGCCTCAACATCTCATCTACCTTCGACATTACAATGGGAAGCTTTGATGGTAAATATAACTTGCGAGCTTATATATATATATATATATATATATATATATATATATATATATATATATATATATATTCTATTGGGATAGTGACTGGTGCAGAATTTAAATTTCGGTCTTCTTTGTGACGTGGTATTCCTTATACCTTGAGAAGATCTCTACAGCTTTGAGTTTAATTACTGGTTTAGAATTTTAAATGTTCTATATTTATTAGTGAAGAGCGCCCAGTATCACAAACGCTACAAATTCTCGAAGCGATAAGTGTTCAAACTAAAAACACATTGCCTCTTCTTTTACTCTCTTCTCTCTCTTCTTAATAATGATTTTCTCATATCCTCTCACACCACTAACCCCCTTACCTTTTAGTAACTGTATGACCTTGCTTGGAGGTTAAATGATAAAAAGAGTTGTTAAGTAGGTTGCTCACTGTTTCCCTCTGACCCTCTTGCCTTCAATTTGCCAAGCCGGCTTTCCTCATTACATGCTAAAGAAATTTCAATTTTCTTTTTCTGACTTGAAGCATGTATCCTTTTTCTTTCCATTTTTTAAAAAATTTCCTCGTTTCTCACAGGTTCTGTCCATGGTATACTTTCTGCATTTCTATTACCTCAAATCTTTTCTTCATCTGTTGATTGATTGATTGCTTTTTTTCTTTTTTACGGTTTATCAACCATTTGCGTGTTATTTAAAGCCAGAGAATATTTTTAGATTGTAAGAATGTTTTGGAGATAATAATAATTTACTGATATCAGTCCTACTAATTGACCCATAGCTGGGGGAGAAGAGGTATATTATACCTTTCCCAAGAGCGTTTGCATTTAATTTAATATGATGAATCCGACTGGAACCGAAACTCGACTATCCGATTTGTAAATCCTATCCGTTATCATTGCACTACCCGCACATTCAAGTTTACAGCATCTGGTATACCCGTCTAGGTACTGACCAAGTTCGAAGTTGTTTAACTTCGGTGATAGTACGAGAACCGATGTTTCAAAGTGTTATGGCTGCGATGAGATGGTCGAGTTTTTATTATCATATAGGAGGAATGATATTCTATAACAGTTCAGTATTTTTCTTTTCTTTGCTTCTAACGAAATCTTCCTGTTTTTTAATACTTTTCTTAGCTTTTGGAAGGCATCTTTCGCTATTCCAATTCACCTTCAGGTTTCGCTGTCGCATTATTTGTCCCCAAAATTCTAATTTAAGTGTGAGCATTCATTTTGGTTCCATGTTTTTTTTAAACCTTCTCGTTTCTTTAATTTTCTCTCCATGATATTCTCTACATCTTTCTGTTGACGACATTCCTTACCAATTCCTTACCAATTGAAATAGTAAATTTCTCAAAGAGGGAATCGGAGATTCTGAAGCGAAACATCACACCTTCATTGTTCCTTCGAAACCAAATCTAAGCTTTGGCAGAAAGAAAAAAATAGCAATGCTGATACCCAAGGAAGAGAGTTAACTAGGGGTCGGGATTTCAACCCCTGGTTTGGGTGGTGCAAAAAAATTATGTCCTCTTGTGCAGTAGTAGAAGAGTCCATCGATATCACAAGGAAGAATTTACTGCTACAGGTTGGGCCAAAATTAGGCTTACACTTCGCAGGTATGCACTTTACATTTTTTAAAACATTTTATTACATTTATATTTATTAGTTACAACCATATTTGTTTAAAGCTGTTTATGTACATTTGTTTAACACTTTACTTAGATCTTTTTAGTGCAGTTTAATCTCTTAAGAGCTCAAAATGGCCTCCGTTAACATCGCAACTTTCTTCGAACCTCTCCAGAATACTATGACAACACAGTACGACACAAATACCGACCTGCATTAATTTCAGTAAAGACTTCTTTTAATTCGTCCACTGTGTGGGTATTTCTCTCATAAACTTTGTTCTTTACTACCCCCCGCCCCCAAAGAAAAGAAAGCCATTAGTGTTAGGTCAGGTGAACGTGGTGGCTTTTCGATGCTATCCTTTCTTCCGAATCAACTCTGTGGAAAGGTTTCGTTAAGGTAATTCCTTACCGCCAAACCATAATAGGGAGGTGCTCCATCTTGCTGAAAAAATAGTTCGGCGAAGTTAGGTCTAAAATGTGAAACTTAGTAAAAAGAACTGTAAGCCTACTTTTTTGTATAAAGAAAAGAATTCTGTGGAGAGCTATGGTAGCGCGTGTCTTGAGGAGACGTGACATTAAAAAATGAGGTATTCAATGGCTTAAACAGGAGTAATATAATATAAGGCTAAACGAGGAAATAATAAAAATGCATTTATATTTATTTGTTACAACCATATTTGTTCAAAACTGTTTATATACATTTAACACTTTACTTACCTTCTTTTTAATGGCTTAAGTGCTCAAAATGTCCTCCTTCAACATTGCAACATTCCTTGAACTTCTCCAAGACACTTTGACACACAACATGACACAAATCCCAGTCTACATCAATTTTAATAAATATATCTGAGATGTAGTCTTTTAATTCGTCGACTGTGTGGGTATTTCTCTCATAAACTTTGTTCTTTACTACACCATCCTCCCTATAAAAAAGAAATCCATTGGTGTTAGGTCAGGTGAACGTGGTGGCAATTCGATTATATCCTTTCTTCCGAACCAATTCTGTGGAATGGTTTAGTTAAGGTAGTCCCTTACGGAGAGGTGCTCCGTGTTCCTAAAAGAATAGTTCAGCGAAGCTAGATCTAAAATGTGAAACAAATAGAGAAACAACTGTAAGCCTACTTTTGGTCCACTCTCTATATCCCCTAGCGTAAACAGTGAAACGAAAACAATCTTCCACCGTGGATTAAATAAGGGAACAATTAAATGATAAAAGATATCCTCTAGCGTTGAAAGAGCAATGAGAAAGAAAAGCTACGTCCGTGAATTAAATAAATTGTTTTGTTCAAACTTCTCAACAAGTTACGAGTTCCGAGCAAAAAATATCACTACTGTCGCTACAGAGCTAAAGTACGCAGAATGGAGCCGCTTGGCACAGATTGACCTTGAACTCTATCACGTATATACACATGATAACGTTCTCGCTTAAGTTGTTTATAGTAGTGTTTTGAAGGGAAGTGTGTTGAGTGTGGTCGTCTCACCACACCATCAGTAACCATGGCTTGTGCAGCAATTTTTGGTCAAGAACAACATTCCCCAGGTCTAACGACCACCATATTCCCCTAGATCTTGCACCTTGAAATATTTATCTCTTCAAAAGTTAAATCCCACTTGAAAGAAAAAATATTTGAAGACGTCGAAGAAATCCAAGAGAATGCAATGAGGCAGCTGCTCGCTATCCCAGAAACGGTGTTCCAAGAATGCTTTCATCAATGGAAACAACACTAGATAAAGTGTGTGGCTTCAGGAGCAGATTACTTTGAAAGGGAATAAATGCCGACGCTGACTATTTTCCGATTAAAATCAGTGTCTAATAATGATAAGTTGCTATCACCAAAATTCAGACAATCTGGGTTTATAATTGTCATACACATATTTATCGACTTAATTTTTTTTTTTGCTTGTGCGAAATATAAGTAAACTAGCAGTAGAACCCGGCGTTGCCCCGGGATGTAACAGTAAGAGATAGATCAAGTATCGACCATCATAAAGACTGAAAAATAAAATTGACAAAATTGATAAAAGATTATTGTTTAAGGTTGACGGACACGCATGTCTTAATTAGTTTTCTTTTGTTTTTTTTGTTTTTTTGTTTTTTTTTTAGGAATTGGTCAAACCCAACCTCAAACAAAAACATTGTTTTCAATCGTTATGGATCTACCGATTGAATAGAATTTTATTATAAACAATTTTCTTGTAAATGGAATTTTAAAAGCATACTGAAAGTAAAAATAAAAAAAAAGTGTGCAAGACAATAAGAAACACTACCTGCCCCCCCCAAAAAAGAAGTGAAGTTTTGTTGAAATCGGTTGAAAAATTTAGGAAATCCGATCCCATATATATATATATATATATAAAGGAACACACACACACACACACAAACAACCTGGGTTTTATAATAAGTATAACTCGATATGAGTTGTCCCCCTTTCATTAATGCCTCTTAATCGTGTTTTCAAATTGATTTCGTGCAAAAACAATTGTGTTTTTCCAATTTTGGGCGCTGTTAGAACCACCGCAAGGTAATTTTATGTAGTCCTGTGAAGTTTTGTTGAAATCGGTTGAAAAATGTAGATCCAATATATAAACGAACACACACACACACAATCTGCGTTTTATAATAAGTAAGATTTTCATAATTAAAACAAATATTTGGTTTCTGTCAATGTTGACATCAGTCGTAACCTCTTTGCTGCAACAGTCGAGGCCGATAAAGCAGTTATGGGGGAGGAGATGCATGTCTTCACAATTTCCAAAATGGGTGTAATTTTTCACTTCCTATTTCCCAGGTTTACACTCAGATCACGTTGAAATACCGGCTCTCGTACGATCATCGAAGTTAAGCCACGTCGGACCTGGTCAGTATATAGATGGGTAACCATTTGGGAATACCGGCTGGTGGAATGGATAACGGCTCGGAAATGGAAATCGGAGAGGCGATTTCCAATTCCAGTTGGTTCCGTTATATTCACTTGCGCACAAGTACTCTTGAAAAAGGTAGTAATCCACCTCTTCTCCCCCACCTATGGGTTAATTAGTAAGACTTGTATCAGTAAATCATTTCATCTTAAAAAATCATTACAATCCGAAAAATATTTTCTGGCTTTGAATAACCTGCAAAGGGTTGATAATCCATAAAAAAACAAATCAATGCAATTTCCCAGTTGGTCCTGTCGCCTTAGAACGTTCGTATTCGTAAATATTTGACAGGAACGAGAAGAAACGAGAAAAAAAAACGAGAAGAAGGAACCGATGGAATGTGAGGACGTCAATTCTGCTATATTCTTATCATATTATCGTCAGTGATAATGAGGGCAAGTAATGTAGACATCAGGAGACTTACCTTTACTCAGTCATCAATGTCAACCGCCAGATGCCAAGAAAAGGAGATGAAAAGGAAAAGGAATATAAACAATACCCCTGAAAAGCTATAGGCATATGGTTGCGCAGAGGATATATGAAGAGATAAACCGAATTCTTTATGATTAACACTCAGGACAATTTCATACAATCTATTTATGTTAAAGTCAACATAAACAGGAAACTGATAAAGAATAAGTGTAGATTTTGCGGAAATGCTTTAATTTATGATGAAGTCAAAACTTGTTGGATTATTTAAAACCGAATTTTGTATGACACACCCAGTGTGCCTTCAGTTTTTTGGGTTTTTTTTTCACCATCTTATAGTGGCTTTCGTAAACTCCCTGTAGCCCAGTAGTTACCGTGGCCATGAAGAGTAATGCGGCAGAAAACTTATTAGTTTTCAAACAAAAGACTTCACCGAAATAACCTTCCTTCTTGCAACTGTATTAACTCATTCCTCGAGCCTGAAACTTAATTCTAGGGTGACTAGTGGCTCCGCAGAAAATCACTTTTCTTTAAAATTTGCTAGCAGTGGATATCCGAGAGTCCTCCTCTTCGTTTTGATTTTTCTCTTGCTGAGAAGTTAAGGCGTTAGCCTAGGGTTCTGATACCGACACCGATTGATAACTTGTTTGGATATCAGTAGAATAGGCTTCAAAATTTAGGACAGCCCTTCCCCCTCATCGCGCTTGAATTCCAGCTTCTGTGAGGGTGAGCGTTTTGTCTTCAAGAAGAGGTGCGGCTAACCCACTACTCAATCGTAATAGTAACTAGTCTGCTTCGATAATTATTACAACTATGGCACCTATTGTTTGATTTTTCGACATATCAACCCTTGTTGAGCGTTTCAATGTCAAATTTTGTATGGGACACCTGGTGAGGATCGAACTCACTATTCAGCAGTAATGATCAACCAGACTATCCTCGCTAACCATTACAGCGCGCCGAAACACCATGCAGGGATTGACCAGAGATCATAAGACATATATATATATATATACATACATATATTGTGCGTAGTGTCACCACAAATGTATACACACGTTTCCGGTGTCTGTTTTTTAATTTTAATTTTAGGTCCTATTTTTAAAACTTCTCTCTGTTAAATTTGAATCCCCATCTTCACCTTTAGGCCTTTCTGTTCTTCTTTCTTCTGTTACCCCTGTCTAGAGCTTTCGTACATTTCCCTCTCACACTTGTTACCCACTCCCACACGTACACTCTCACTAAAATTTTATATTTTATACCCGGAGTTATATTTTCCGATTTCTTTCTGAATTCGTAGGTCTGATGAATTGGATCGTGATTACGATTCCAGTGTAATAAATTATAACCATAGAATATTATTTTTTTTATTATATATATATATATATATATATATATATATATATATATATATATATATATATATATATGGGTAAATGCAACAGTTTGCTAAGAATTATTGTAAAAATAGTCTGAGTAGGAAGGTTGGTCTTCTAGTGAGAACTATGCAAGCGAACAGAATTTGCTTTTATAAAACCGATGGAATATGTGTAGAGCAAACTCAACGAATAAAAAAAAGATGGTTTATTTTTGCTGGGCTATTCGAAATTCCTACGAATCACTGAATCGAGGACAGAAGACCCGAGCCGATCATCGTCACGAAGAATATTGGTCAGAAAGTGCATTCTGCTGACTCAGCAGGCCGCAGGGTAAAAACGTAAAAGAAAGAATGGTGTCTTATCTGCGGCTTGCAAGAGAAAAGAAAATTGGGGAACATGAAAGTGACAGTTGCATCCGTGATAATAGGCGTATTTGGAACAGTTCAGGAGATCAAAGCAAAGATGACGGAAGAATTGAAAATCCGAGCAAGAATCGAAATCATCCAAGCAACCGTTTTACTAAGACAAGAGAAAATATTGGCAAAAAATATTAGCCTACTAATAAGACATGGTGTCTTTTACTCAGCAGTGAATAATCCATATATATATATATATATATATATATATATATATATATATATACACAACAGAGGATGTCTGTCTGTGTGATACCTTTTCTCTCGAGATCAATCCAACCGATTTTGACCAAACTTGGAACATACATTGTACAATGTAAGAGATAGATTATTAGCATAAAAAATTGATTTTTTTTTGAATCAATAATTGATAAAACCGATCAAAAATCGATAAATTCAACTTTTTCCTCTGATTTCGTTTAAACTCAGTATGTGGGTTACTTACATCTTGACGAGCTCGCCGATACCTCATTTTTTTTTATTTTTACGCCACTGCGTTTAGCGAAAAATCGATTTCAACACAAATCGATTTCAACACAAATCGATTTCAACACAAATTTTAAACTAAAATCTCCCTCAATCTTCAAGCAATCTAATACAAACTTCACTCAATTGTAGCCAAAAATACGTTGATTAATTAACAGTAATTTAACTTGATAACTGAGTCAACCCATATAGTGAAAACCCACGTAAATTAAGAAAAATGGCGATTGTGACTGGTTTCTTTCTTAATTTTCGCTGATCTTGCAACCAGTTTTCATCTTTATAAATGTATCCTCTTTTACATCGCTGGTAGCACACTGACAAATTGAATTTTAAAAATTTCAAACTAATCGTGGTCTGAAGTGTGTCTTTATGTTGCCTGTTTTACCCATTCATGTCCTCGGCTAACTTCGACTGAAGAAATACAGATTACTTCTGTTATATCAGTAGCAACATTAATTCATAATCTTTTTAATGAAAGTACTTTAAAGTAATTGAAGAAGATAGACTCTATTACATCTAAACATGATGCTGTTTTTGCTCCATTCTAATTGAACGCTTTTTCTGATCGACTAGCAGGGTATGGCTCCCAGTATATATATATATATATATATATATATATATATATATATATATATATAATAAAAAAAAAACTTAAACACTAATATTCCATGGTCATAATTTATTCAATTGGAATCGTAAATACGATCCAATTCATCAGACCTACAAATTCAAAAAGAAAACAGAAAAAACAACTCCGGAAATAAAAAATAGAATTTAGAGAGAGTGTAAGTATGGGAGTGTGGGACGAATGTTAGAGCTAAAGAGAGGGGTAACAGACAAGAGAAGGTGGGGGATTAAACCTTAACAGAGAGAAGTTTTAGAGAGGTGAGTCAAAGACGGTTTAAGTGAGAGAAATATGAATGTTGTCAGATGTCTAATACATTAAAGATGTAACCGGAAAGGATACATTTTGTGGTGACATACACACACAATAGACGATCTAATCTAGGTATACTTCAATATATATATATATATATATATATATATATATATATATATATATATATATATATATATATAGTTACCTCCTTACAGCGTCTTAGCGTTTAACGGTTTTTAACATAGCGTTTATTTTTTTTTATTATTGCTTATTTTTTCTTTTTCTTACACTATTTTCTTTTTTGCCTACCGAAGCGTTTTATTTGGTATCTCCCAACGTTTTTTTAGTCCGTATTGCAATAATCTTATCTGTTGGCTCAATACACATGAATGTATCAATATCTCTATTAAACTTACTATTAATAACTTATTTATTAGTTTTGAACTTATACCCCAATGCTATTTTATATTTATAACAATCTTAAACTTTGAATACACACACACACACACAATGTTGCATTGCTCCCATGAGACACAGAAATTAAAAAACAACCGTATTGAACAGTTCATAATTTTTTTGTTTCTGATTATTGGCAAAACTATAAAACTAGTTGTACTATAAACGTAGGTTTATATGTAATTATTAATATATACTTTCTAGCTCTGCTTTACTATATTGAGCACTGTTTTTTCTACACTATTGACTAAATAGTTATTTACTCACCTGCATGCGTACGTAATCGCTCACATATGTGCTTGATCATATCTCTTTATTTAGCTCATTTCTTCATCTATACGGCAAAATTGTCCAAATCGTGTAACAGCAAAATTGTCCAAATTGTGTAACAGCAAAACTGTCCAACTGCCAGATTAAGCTCTGAACCGTTATGTCTTAGAAATGATTAAAGATATCTTACTGGATTTCTCCGAGGTTTTCATAACACTATTGAACTCTACTTTGAGCAATAAGAATGTATAATTATCTCCAAGGTTAATAGAAAAATCGTGTTGAAATCGATCATAAACGAAAATGACATGTTCATCATTAATTAATCATAGCCAAGGATCGGAAGCTCAAATATATATTTATATATTTCAAATATATTTATGTTATGATTTTCGAATGAATAATTATGTTTGCTCTACTCTGTATTGAGCACTCTTTTAAGAATAGTAATTGTTGGTTATTGGAATTTATTCCGTATACACCAATCCTATACTAGGTATATATATATATATATATATATATATATATATATATATATATATATATATATATATGCGTGTGTGTGTGCGCGTGTGTGTGTGGCTATCTGATTAACAGGAGGAGGAGTTTTAACAATTGGGGTGTCGGAATTTTTCTCAACATGCAATAAATGGTGGTGGTGGGGTG